ACCAGTACTTTGCCCAGCTATCAGCCGCGGGAAAAAATAGAGTACAAACGTTTCTAGTAGGATGAATTTGGGCGCTCCGGTAGTGGCCCGTACGTTTCCTAAAATCACGGCTTGTTAACGGGCATGACTTTAGGATAGTCGCAGAAATTTTGTGGGAAGCTCTAGGAAATTCACAGAGTTTGTAGGATAGTGGGTGGGTGGGACCTGGGATGGGGGTTGGGGGGTGGTAGCAAAAGAACATTGGTCGGGTGCAAGTGTGTACGGGTTAACCAAATGCCAAATTGGCCTGGGTGAACATATATATTCGAAAGATTAATTGTACCAAGCTGGATCATATTCAATAGATCATACAATATACCGCCATGGCCACACCATTCCAAAGACTCAAATGGAATAGTGCTGCTAAGGTTTTCAAATGGTTCTCTTTTTCGTTTTCTATTACGCGTGGGACTCGGCCCCGTCAATTGGGACTCATAGAGAAGGCGCTAACACAGGGTGCTGAATTTTAAATAAGCGGGTAATACGACCATGTAAGATTTGTTTGGAGAACCATATGCAATGGAAGGTGCAATGACAGTTCCGAGGAGAGAAGGGAAGATGCAACTACAGTGGGAGGTTTTCAAAAGCGGAAGAAGAGAAGATTGCTCCAGTCCTCAGAGTGTAAAGACACCATGCCACTGAACCAGCGACCAGTGGATTCCCTCTGTTGTCCCTTTGTCAATCTCCCCATGCCTGCCTCCCTCCCTTCCTCTCTCCCCTGAAAGTTAAACCATCGAGTTAGGGTCTGCGCCTATCAGTGGTGAGGGCAGGGTCCCATTTGGCTTCTTCATTTATGACCTTAGGTTTACCAAGATCGATGACCATAATCCAGGTGAATTTTGTCTTTCTTTCTGCCACTAATGTCAATACCATGCCCGTCCAGGCCGTCCCTTCCCAAAGAAGATGTGACAGTGGCATGCACTATTTGCTCCTTTTAGACCGCCAGTACCCGGGGCCCAAGCCGGGGTAGGGGTTTCACCCCCGGACCCCCGCCCCTGCCCCAAGCCTGGCACCCCTGCCGTCGCCCCGCACCCCCAC